TTATATTTGTCATACTTTTAATTTATATATTTAAGATAAAAATTAGAGGAACACTATATTAATTTTAATATCAAAGTTCATACAAGGGAAGGAAGTTCGATTCTGCTGGATGGTACAATCAATTCTTTTCTTTCAAAAATAAAATAAATAAAATTGTTAGCAAATCATTTCAATCAAAGAGGTAACGTCCTAGTGGCAAAAGTTACAGAAAATCTTCTTGAAGTCATGTGTTCGAGCCTCCGGGGTGGCAAATTTAAGGTAAATCCTCCAAAGGATTTAAACCGTCCGGTTGAACGGTTTTTTGGTTTGTACCGGTTCAAACGGTTTTACTGGTTTTGAACGGTTCAACCGCTCTATCGGTTCTAAATATTGAGCCGAACCGCTTTTAATACCGGGTACCGGTCCGACCGGTTCAACCGGCCGATCCGGTCCGGTTTTTAAAACATTGATTATAATCAAAGAATCAAAGTTACAAATTATCACATTGTTCAAATTATCAAAAATATCAAAAACAAAAATTCTTCATTCTTCCGCTAGAGGAGGTGGCTGAGATGGCTACTGCTCGGCTAGAAGAGGTGGTTGCTCATCATCAAAAGGAACTGGAAGGACCTCCACTTGCAAAGGTGGCTGACTCTCATCCACTTCAGCTCCTTCCACTCCTACTCCCACTTCAGTTTCCTCTACCTCTGCCTCTTCTTCCTCCATTGCCACGAACTCGAAGTCAAAACTTGGAGGGAAAACAGTGCGTCCGTCTACATCACAATCCCACCTCAATTTAATCTGAGGATGAAAGTCTACTGACATGCTCTCACCGTTCTCCTCCACTCCTTCCTTTTACTCGCCGAAGGTGATCTTCGTAATATCCACTTCGAGTAGACCTGGCAATTTTTTACCCAACCCGCTAACCCGCCCATTACCCACCTGTTTAAAATGGGTTAGGGTCATATATTTATGACCCGTGACCCGTTAATGACCCGTTAAAAGAACCCAACGGGTCACAGGTCAATAACGGGTTGACCCCTCAGGTTAACGGGTTTGACCCGTTTACCCATTTAAAAATATAAAATTTTTTAATTTATTATTTATATGTCTTGCTTTCCAATTCTCAATCCCACCTAAACTTCTAATAATTGACTAATATTCCCTAATTAACTAATTGATTCTCTTGACTCATCATCTTCTAGAAGTAAAAATAATCCCACTCCACTCATAACTCACCTTCCGACCTTTCTTATTCTTGCTTGCCCTAATACTCTCGAAGACTCTAACTCTTCAAACTTCAAACTCTTCTCATATTCTTCAACCTCCATAGTTCATACAGCCTTTGACTTTCAAGCTTCGACTCCACCTTTTCTCTTTAGTTGTTAACATTATTTCAGACTTAAATCTTAGTCTTATCGAGTCACCGTTGCGTCCACTTAGGCTTTTCTTTTTTTCTCCTATGAGTCCGGCAAGTGCTCTTTTTGTCACCAACTTTTCTCTCTAAATACTTCAAGGTAAGTTGTTTACTTATTTATGCTTTTTAGTCTTCTTTCCATTCCAAGTAAAGATTTTACTTGATTTTCTCCTTTACTTAAATGCATTCAATTGATTATTCTTTGAAAGCAATGACCAAAACAAATATGTTCCAATGGGGTTTGTGTTTTTTGGTTGTCATGCTAC